CAAATAAAGGTTTTTATTTTATGAACTAGAAAACAGTAGCTCAAAATGCAGGTCATATGTCCCTGAGGAAAATTAGTCATTGAAAGTCTCATATTAAGCAGATGAAAAATGGCAATCTTCACAGCCACAAGTGTCTGCTTCATATTTTTAACATCAGGAATACCAATATTCTAACTTGCATGATAAATGCCAAACATTTTCTCCAAACCTTCTGTAAAAATGCACTAGTATTCCCTTCCTGCTAAGCAATATGCATAAATATACAATATTAATTTTTTGGCACTATGACAGATGGTAACAGAATTTTCACAAGGTAGATAAATGGCAATAGAATTAGGAAGCAAAACCAATATTCATTATGTTTGAGGTGCTCCAGACTCAGTCAGAGAATGTCTGTGGGGGTATTTAGAACATGGCATACCTCATTTGGTATGAAGGGGAATCCTTCATGTCCATGTGGACTCACGTTTACACCACAGGTTTTATGGCAGAGTTGTGCTGGCAGACCTAAGACCTGCTACTGTATAAAGGAACCTTTCCTTCACAACTGGAGGTAGTAAACACATAAGATTTACACAAGAGCAACTGAGACCCAAACAGAACAGTTATTTCAGCATTTTGACAGATGTACAGTCAATTAAGAGCTGTATTACATGGATGCCGCTGGGATGGGATTAGATTAAATTCTTTCCTTTTTTATTTGTTAATCTGTAGTATACCTGTGATCATGCATGTGCATTTATGCATACAGGTGCATATTCACGAGTGCATGCATGCATGTGCAAGTCAGATACCAATGGTAGATATCTTCCGCAGTTGCTCTTTGCCTTGGTTTTGAGACAACATCTCCTACTAACTCTTGAACTCACCATTTCAGTGAGACTAGCTAAACAGTACCTCCTAGGATCTTGTCTCTGCCTCCCCAGCTCTGGAGTTCCAGGTGCACACCCCAACACGTATCTTTTTATGCGGATACTTGGGATCCATAGGCTTGCACAGCAAGTACTTTACCAATTGAGGCATCTCTCCAGCCACAGGTAAAACTATCTTCTAACACAAAGAATCTGTGAGCCCCAACCATGCTAGGTGCTTTACAAAAATCATCAGTTTTAATCATAAAATACTGATGGCTATATGTTGTGATCCCTGCTCACAAAGTCGGGGAAAAATAGTCAACCCCCCTGTGCAAGGAACTACACATCCTGTGCTAAACTGTTCACAGATGAAGAACTTTCCACAGACAGGATTGGGTGGATGACTAGCAGGCTTCTCTTAGTGAATGTGATCACTTTTTGAATGGCATGATTTTCAGAAGTGGTATCAGTCCTCCACCCAAAGTGATGTGCTTAAGGCTTGAGAACTAGCTCAATAGTTAAGAACACTTGCTACTCTTGCAGAGCACCCAGGTTCAGTTCAGAGCACCAACATGACATCTCACAACCACCTGTAATTTCAGCTCCAGAGGATCTGATGTCCTCTTCCAGTCTCTGAAGGCTCCTGCGCATGTATTGTGCACAAATTCACAAAGACACTCATACGGATAAAACAAATGAATCTCAAAGTGCCTTGCTTTTGGGATCATTTACCTATATTTTTGCTGTGTGGAGGACTGGTACCAGTGACTACACTTCTGAAAACTGAATCCTGACCTGGACACCTATACCACCTCCATGTTTCTACAAACTTCTTTGTTGTGTACTTTGGTCCTGATGCGTCGCTTGACACGATAGTAAATGGCTGCAGCCTAACCGCCACCCCATGCCACTGGTACTCCTGCAAAGCCCTTCCCTACTAATTCATTTCCATCCAGTAACCCCAGGTACACATGGTTCAGAACAGTTAGTGTCTCAGTTTTGATATTAAGATGCTCCAAATCCCTACTTTCCAGGCACAGCTATTTCTTTATTTCTCTGGAAATCTTCCTTTTATGTGGTAGCCTTTTTTTTTCAAATATAAGTTGAAGTGAATTGGACTTAAGGAGGCAAAACTGAGTTCTCTTCTGGCTCTATAACCGTATCCAAGGGACTTGTCTCTCTGAGACAATTTTTAAATTACAAGTAATGGATTTGAATGGCTGGGGAGAATGGCTCCATAAGGAAAGTGGTTGCCACAAAAGCATGAGAACCCAAGTTTGGATTTCCAGCACCTATGTAGAAAACAAAGTGTGACACTGTGGAGGTCGAGACAAGAGGATCCCTGGAGCTTGCTGACCAGCCTGTCTATCCAGTCAGTGAGCTCCAGGTTCAGTGAGACACTTTATCTCAAAGAATAAGATGGAACATCAGGTGTGGTGGCCTGCACCTTTATTCCCAGTCCTCAAGAGGCAGAGGCAGGTGGATCTCTGTGAGATCAAGGCCAGCCTCCTCCACATAGTGAGTCCAGGAGGGCTGAGACTAGGGAGATCCTGTCCAAAAAATAATAATAGTAAGGTGGAGATAGAGGAAGATGTCTAATATCAGCCTCTAGCCTCCACATACATGCAGCACACACCAGGTATACACATCCACACACAAGTGCATACACAAAAGTGAATTGGAACCCCTTCAGAATTATTCTCTTAACATCTCTTACACAGTGACTGGTAGAGGAGTCAATGATCAGACAGCTATAACTACCCTGAGTATGGACTAAATGTTTTAGAATATGCTTTCTTCTCTCCTCTATTGCAGAAATTTCTGCGGTTTTTGATGCTGGCACATCGGTTACATACATGTTTCAAGAACCATACCCGGTGACCAAGAACACAAGCCTCTCTTCTTCAGCTATCTACGCTGATGCAGCTCCACCCAAAGAAACCATTGCACTGAGCTTCGTGACATCACAGGCTCCCAGCCTCTTGCTGTTCCTCAATTCCTCTTCTCAGGATTTCCTGGCCATCCTCGTCTGCAAGAATGGTGAGTGCCGATGGCATGAAGCCACATGGAAAGGCAGCCCGGCTCGGGGCAGCAGTGCTCTGCAACACCCTCCAGAGCTGGTACCACCTGAGCGGGTTCTATCTAGATCCAGACAAATGCTTAATTGCCTTTTACCTTTACATGTAGCTGTTGGTATTCAGGGGCAGTGTCGATTCACCACTAAAGTCACAAATACATTAAATCGTCTCAAGTGTGTTGCAGCAATTCTTTGTTATTTATTCTGTACTGAAACATACTGAGTGTAAAGGAGACAATCTGAAGCTTGTCCAGATTTCAGAAGGACACATTCCACATACATCCTGTCATCTATACTGCAGAACTCTTCACTAGGGGCTGTTAAAGCATAAATATAGGCTGTGTTAATAGATAGGGATGTCTGGGACTTAAAGAGAAATATGATATTGAAATCATAACATTGTGGAACAGGGGTTTGCTTTTGAGAATCAGATTTCTCCTTGAAAACCTCAACATTTTTATATAATGACAGACTGTGGATTTGTGACATGGCTATTCTGAAATGACAAGACTGGGAATATTTTATCTGACCAAAGAATACTGTTGTTTCATCAGTTAAGTTTTGTTATTTCTTTTCTTTCTTGCAATTATTACAACTAAATGTGAAACTCTCTGACTCCATATATACAGACAGACTCAACTATCTTCTGAGGATGACAGTTTATTGTTATTTATACTTCTTTGCTCGTGGTATCATAAATAACATAGAATTTGAAAAAAAGACATATTTTCTCAGTTTTCAGGGTGTCTATAGAGCTTAATTTTCAAGATAAAATTGTACATTATTGATTGATGATAAATATGAAAATCAGACATGTTAAAGATTGTGCATCTGGTGGATGTGAAAAGGTTACAGCATGGACAGAGGTTACTTAATACAAGAAACATTGAAGGTAACCAACTAGGGTAGAAGGCTGAAGCCAGGTCTTCTTACCAGGAGCCTACTGCACTGTGCAAGCACAAATTCTCCTTATATAATGTTGCTAGAATTCTTCTCAGAGGCATAAACAATTTCTGCACCCTCCTCTCTTAGACCCCACAACAAGCTGAGGTACAGTTTTTGCCAAACTACAGTATGAGAAACCAGTGAGTTTATTGGGCTTATGTACAGAGCAGTGGGTGAGGGTTTACTTACGGAAGTATGGGTGCTCCCCTCCTAAGGCTATACTGGAAAGTCTTCATCCAGGTGCGGATGGTGACTTCCCCACAGCCACACTAAATGGTGAGAGAGCCTGCACTCTGCTTCTGCAGTTTATATACACTTAGTCTCTTTTCCTCATGCAACTAGAACTGACTGATTGGTTGGGAGGTGTGGCTGACTCTCCCAGCTCCTCCTTTTCATGCAATAGGTCTCGTTCCTTCTGAGACCAATATAGAGGAAAGAGAGAGAGTGTGTATGGGTAGAGAAAGGAAGGAGTAAGAGAGAGACATGGGAAAGAGAAGAATGAGGAGGATGAGGCAAGAGAAGTCAGAGGAAGCAGAAGAGGAGTCTAAGGAGAAGCTAGAGAAGCGAGGAGTTGGAGGAGGAGGAGAAGGGGAAGATGGTCATCTAAAGCCAACAGTTTATCTCCATACCTTTATATGATTATGACCAAAAACCTCTAACTTTATCACTTTCCACTTTTCCCTATCATGTCTTCTGAGTTGGTGAGACAGGCTGAAGACACTGAGGCATGGGCAGTTCAAACAGTTGAACATGGACAACAAGTTTGTTTATGATACATTTATGACGTTAGAAACTCAGTGTCCTGATAAGCATCCTGGTAATCTTCCTTCCAAACTCAGTCAGACATCTTCTTGTTGGTATGATCAGACCATATTTAGATGACTATAGAGAAGGGAGATATGAGATTTCCCCAAAAACTGTCTTTTTGTGTGGGGCTCCATATATTTATTCCTGTCAGGTTGTACCTTTGAAAATATGACTGCCAGAAATTCAGAAATTACAGAACAAGGAAAACTGTATGTAATTATTCTGATTCTACACTGTGCTTAACTCTCTTGGTACTCCTGTTTGCCTGGCTGTATTATTATACACTACTATACCAGGTTTTTACAGTTGCAGAAACAGGTACAAAGACATCAAATAACTAGTGTATAATCTCAGAGCAAGTCAGGGTCAGAGCTGGAACTCAGTCTCCCCTCCCAACCTGGTAACATATTCAGTTTTTATTATGTTGCCTTCCTTCATATAAGTTTCCAATTTTTAACCCAGGTTGGTGTAGAACTTAGGTCCTCCTGTCTCATTCTCAGAGTTCGGGGATTCCAGATGTGTACCACCACACCCTGCTCTTTGTTCCTAATCACAAGGGCTAAAGTAATACGGTTACTCCTTTATTCATTGAAACACATGATTCATTAAATAATTGAAACTGATTTAGTAGAGAAAGCATTTTTGAATTCTTCCCCTCACATATTTTCTTATACCTGGAAGTCTTCCTTTATTAGAGGCTCTGTGTGGCCCTACAAATGTTTGCAGTTTTTTAAATGCTGACTAAATTCAGGAAGTGAGGGAGAAGCACCCGCCTTAACATTTTTTGTGTGTGTTTGGTGGGGAGGGGTCTTGGGAGGGTGTGAAATCTTAAGTGTGCAGCCTCACCGCTCAGGCTAATTCACAGGACAAGGTTTAAAAACAGACACTTTATCTGTTAAAGGTGTATATTTGTGTACAGAGGACACGCACTGGGGTTTCCCAGCTGTTCTATCCTGGAAAAAAGAATTAGACCAGGGAATCATGGATAGTGACAGAAACAGAGGCAGCTCACTAAGAAGGAGAAAAGTATTCCCAAGAATGAAAGTGAGCCAGAGAGCTGGGAAAGGACTGAAGCTCAAAAGCTCAGGATCCCCTGGTACATTACCCTTTCCAGATGATTTATGTAACATCTACCTTCCTTCTCCACATTCAAAGAACAGGGGGCATTTCTTGTATTTGTTCTGTTATGTTACATGTCACTCCCCAAGGGTGAGGGGTTCTTCTGCCAACTGGCCTCTTTTCTATGCAAATACCTCCCCTTGTTATTATCTCATTTCCACCCCATAATCCTCTAGTGTCCTCCATGCAGTGAGGGGAGGGGAGATGCAGCGTTTTGTTTTGTAAAGACTTATTTTATTTTTAATTATGTGTGTATGTGTGTCTCTGTGTTAGTATGTACATGTGAGTAAAAGTGACTGCAGAATCCAGAGGACAGCGTTAGATCCTCTGGAGCTAGAGTTATAGGCAGTTGTGAGCTGTCCACCCCAGAAGATCAAAATTGAGCACAAGTCCTCCAGAAGAGCAGTGTACACTCTTAACAGCGAACCCTCTTCCTCATCCCCCAGCGTTTTAGAATCTGTGTCCCTTCCTGCCATCTCCCCATCCCTCAGAGACCCAACTTATAACTGGGCTCATCCATTCTACCTTTCATTAACTCTCCTGGTAGTTACTAGGCTGACTGCAAAGTATGAGAGACAGTGGAGACAAGCAAAGATAAGAAAGGCTCACTGCTTTCTTCGGACTACAAGAAACAAGAGAGACTCATTAACTGCCTAATGTTTTTGACAAAACTAATTAGACAGAAGACAGTTGTAGTACTTAGATTTCTGAAGCCCTCTAACTAGAAGGAAGACTTTGACCAACTTTAGGGATGAATCTAAGAATTCAGGAAATATACCAATAGAATGAATGGCTCTGTTGGTGATGAATTCCTTATCATGGTGTTCCTCAGATATTAATAAATGGCTATTTGTTGAAACCATAGCAATTTCAGAAGCAGAAGAGATAAAATAATAACCTGTACATTTTTTCCAAAGCCTTAGATTTTGTGATTTTTTTTTAATTTCCTTCTTACATAATCTTTCATGCCATATTTCTTTCTGTGAAGGTTTCATTTGCCAACTTTGAAATGTTGTTTGAGGAATTAAGAATTATGTTCTATCCAGCTGGTTTCTAGTATAATCATGGTATTAGGCTGTTGACCTAATTACCAGTGAATCAAGTACTAGGAATATTTTAATGGGATTGGATGCACTGTACTATAACTATGCCTCTGAGCTGGGGGTGGTAGATATCACCTGTCATCTCAGCACTTGGGAAGTACAGATTGTAGGTTCAAAAGTTCAAGGCCAGCCTTGGCTACATGATACCATCTCAAAAAAAAAAAAAAGTGATATCATCACCTCTGACTACAGATAGGAAGATAGGAATACTTACATGTTGAAGAACAATAAGGAGAGTAGAAACAGTGAAAGTTTTACTACGAAAGGTGTTTATCTACAAAATCTCTTATAATTAATATCCTGGCATACCCCGCCAGTTGGAATCAAGAGTATTGTGTCATAAGCTTCTTAATTTTGTTCTGATTTTAAGACATATTTGGGGATCTTGTGGCCAGCTAAAAAGGAGTCCTGTTGGCCTCCCAGGAGCACACAGACTAATTCCAGCACTACAGGATAAGAGGCCAAGGTAGGGAATTATGTGGGTAAATCTTGCAAACACTGAACAAAAATTTCAGCTTGCAAATTTATTTAACAGATTTGACCAGGCCAAAGGAGAGAAGATCAATGCAATTCAAAATCTTGCTCAAGAGCCTCTCCCTGGCAGGAGTTTGATTTGGCAGAACCGGAGTTCTTTGCTGCCCTTTCTTGTTATTCTTGAAAATTTTCCAGCTATGGACTTATTCAGCTTAAGCTGCTTCTGTCTTTTCAAAAGTAAACAGTGTGTTCTTCTTAAATAGAGTAGGGGCGGGGGGAGGAGAAGGAGGGAGGAAGAAAGAAAGAGATGGAAAAAGAAAGAGAGGGAGCATTTTGAGGTGAGTTCTCAAAAGAGATACAATAGTTGTATTTCTACATGTTGGAGCATTGAGTCACAGACTTCTCATCAATCTGACAATCAGAGAAGAGGCTCTAAGTGGAAGAATAGTGTCCAGAGATAGAGATGAGTGTTCTAAACATACCCATGACCACTACAACATTTTCTTTTTGTATGT